CTGGCAGGCCGACAGCATTCCGTGCAAGGGTCGTTCCGGCCGATCTGGCCGCGTGCAGGCCAGTCAGGCCAGCTGGGCACGGCGTCAGGCCTCGCCCATCTCCCGCGAGGCTACGGACGACCGCATTATCTGTCGAAGCGTTTGCGTGCTGGCGTGCGGCGCTTACTGGCGCGACGTTGTGGCGCTGCTGGTCGAGTTCGGATGTCGGTGGTATGTTCATGCACAGGCTGTTAAGCCCAGAGCTGGAATGCCAAATTTGCTGATCGGTCATCTGCTCTTAAACTCTTTTTTAAACTTGCTCTTAAAACAATCAGCATCTCCTCATCTCTCTCTCTCTCTCTCTCTCCCTCCCCCTCTTTCTCACTCTTCCTCTTCGCTCGCTTTCCTCTTAGCTGTCTTCGTTGGGACTCGACCCGTCACTCTTTTTCATGTTATTTCTTCCCCCCATTAATGTGTTTTTGCATGTCCACGTCCGCGCGCTCTTTGCTTTTGTTCTTTAACTCTTCTGTGTCTTTTGCGTCAAGTCTTTTCTGTATTCGCTAGCTGTCTTCTCTGGCCCGGCTCAAATTTTCTCCGCAATCATTTTCTGTTGCCCTAACCCCCTTTCGCTGTTTTCCACTCGGCGCTTCCCACCGCAGGCGAGGCGGTGTGGAGAAGTCGTCACCCGTTGCCCGTACGTTCATTGGTTCTCGTGTCAGAGAACGGGCTCCAGCCCCGGCTGCCGTGCGGACATAGCTCGTCGCGGAGGTGCGCGAGCAGCGACCTGTCCGGCCGCTGAGGGCGCGATCCCCAATCACCACGGCGCCGCCGGCCGGTCGGCGGCGGTCGGCACCACCACCTGTTGCCCTTGGTGTGCGCCTCAGTCGTGGCGACCCTGGCCTTCACCGACCCCTCGGTCGCTGGCAGTCAACAGCGCAGTTTCGCCCCTCATTGAGCCGGCACCCGGATGCGCTTACGCACAAGGCCGCCGTATGGAACGCACTCCGTCGTGCCCGGCCGGGCCTCACGTATCATCGCGTCACTGAGCTGGTGTGGCGCCGGCGGCCGCGGCCCGTTGCGGTGACCCGACCTCGCCGCTCGCGGAGCGGGGCGACCTCCCAAGGCAGCCAGGCGCAGCCCGCCTCCTTCCCGGTTCGGACGGGCCAACTCGGTCGCCAAGGTCGACAACCCTCTGCGCGGTCACTGGCCGGGGCAGAGCGAGCGCGCAGCGACGTCCCGTGCGCCCGGTCGGCCTGACGCCGCCGGCGGCCGGGGCGCCCGGCCCGGTCCGGAGATGGCGCCGGCGAAGTCACTCACCTGGTCAGTTGCGATGGCATCTGGTTTGTGCGTCCAAAATCACCGCATTCGTGTGGCAGAGTGCAGCATAATTACATCCTGGAGAGAGGATGGGAAGAGCGAAGAATTAGGGGGAAATGAGATGCAGCGAAGTAAACGAGATGATGCGTAAGGTGACTTACCGCCGATAATAGACGACGGACATGCGCACAAGGTGGCGACCCATTACGCATTTGAGGGACAGTGATGTATGGCCGTGTTTGTCCTGCGCCGCATGTACCGAGAAGTGGTCTCATTGCGGGCGACTGTCGGCGGCGTGTCTTCGTGGTTGTGCCAAACACCGGCCAAACAGCTTTCTCACGCCGTCTCCCCGTTTTGGCCGGCGCAGGACGGTTTCCCAATGCCCTCTTTGGAAATGAGGTCAGCGCTCTGGCTATGTGCGTGCGGCCGTCACATGACCGTCCCCACTGCTCCGGGATAGGGCGAGGTGTGCCTCGGTCAGCTGGGGGGGGGGGGAGGGGGGAGGGGCAACAGTTGGCCTCACTCCTCGCTGACTGGGCGGTGGTCACCGCCGTTCGCTGTCGCCGGAGGTTCTCTCTGTCGGCTATGTTCACGGTGATCACTGTGATTGTGACGCCCGCACTCCGCTAGTGGCCGAGATCAATAAGCACGACGGTAATTTCAAGGAGCATGCTTATTTCAAAGGGAATGTTTCATTTCAGCATGCGTTCAAACAAACACTGGTTGAAAGCCGGCGATAGTGGTGCGAGTTTTCAAGTTTATTGCGCTGTGTGCACGATAGACCTCGCCGAGTAAGGTGGCTTTACTTTTCGACACCGGCACTTTGTTCGACGCACAGACACGATATTACTGTGGTGCGGAATGCGTAAAATAAATAAAAAGCCAAGCAATCGCGTGTTAATGGTTTCGTCTTAATCAACATTCCGGAAGGATGCTGTTACTGGTGTAATGCACTTTTTTGCCGTCATTAAGTCGCACTTAAAAAAGCAAAGTCAAAGAAAGGCAGGACTTCCTACACTCAAGCTCGGCAAGGAGGCCATTCTGGTACTTAATCGGCAATGTGGTGATATTTGCGTAGGTTTTCCAGTGATCTCCAGAATCGCTAGCTCAGCTCAATACTTCGAGTAAATGGGAAGCATTCCCTTGAATTACTGGCGTTGAATAACAGTGCGGTGAGCTGCGCATGCCCACATTCTCTTGCTCCCGCCTCAGGCTCGCCATTGTCCATTTCACGCTGACTGACGTGGTGTGTGCACACCCGCAATCCGTCGCATTCCGACCTGCCGTGCGTGACGCGGTGCCACGGCCGGGAAGACCAGTGAGAATGCCCAGTGGGAGGGGAGGCTGTGTCCGATGCATGTGACGACGGCAGACGTGACAGGCTGGCCCTGTCAACAGACAGTGGTCGGGCAGCGTCGCCGGCAGCTGCTGGTCCACCGCGGGTCAGAGCCGGGCTCGCGCCATCCGCCACGTGCCGCTGAGCGCGGTTGAGCGTCGGCCATTGTGTGGGCGCTCTGCCGTGCCGCAGAGGGACGCTGTGTGGAGTTGCTGGACGCTGTTGATTGGGCTTTTGACGAGCGGGCAGGCGGAGTCGATTTCATTGACGCGCCAATGATATGGAGCGCGGCGCTCCATCGGGCTTTCATTGGTAGCCAGTTTTTGCGGGATTTTGCCAGAACAGGTTTGCCCTGTGTAGCCTAGTCGTCCAGGCACCATTTTACATTCAATTGCAGCCAATCGGGCTCAGAGCTTATCTGGTTTGAAAACCGGCTGTTCGGGGACCGACTGAACCGTGACGACAGTCTCGACGGGCTCAGCTTCGCTGCTCGTTGAATCTGCTGCCCAACATCGCTGCTGGCCGGATGTGCTGCTCAGCGGCGCTGGAGTAGCGCCACTGGCTGAAGCACGGCTGCTTGCTGAATCAACGCTGGTGAGTGGAGCACCACTGCTGGCTGTGATAATGGGCATTGGATAAGTCAACAGCGCCGGCCAGCCGTGCCTCCGGGCTCGCTAGTGACCGCGCGGCACGTGAAACCCCTGCGAAGGTCGCCACACGCCAGCGGCGTCCCGGCGCGCTGGGGCCTGGCGGGCCTGCCAAGACTGCTGCCGAGACCGCTGCCAAGACCCCTGCCTAGACCGCTGCCGAGACCGCTGCCAAGACCCCTGCCTAGACCGCTGCCGAGACCGCTGCCAAGACCCCTGCCTAGACCGCTGCCGAGACCGCTGCCGAGACCCCTGCCTAGACCGCTGCCGAGACCGCTGACAAGACCCCTGCCAAGACTACTGCCGAGACCACTACCGAGAGCGATGGCGTCGCAGTGGCACCATCGGCAGACACGATGGACTTTCGATCCTGAGCCCGAGTCAGAATCTTGTATGTGGCGCAAATATTTCACAAGCCGGATGACGACAAACGGCATGTTAACACTCTTGCCATTGGCCAGAGCAGTCACATGCGTGGATAATAGCCGACAGATGGGGCCAGCGCTGGCCGAAGCGCTGCTCCGTGGGTGGCGGTGACCGATCACGCCGCCGCCTCCGCCGCCTCCGGCGCTGTCCCCATTACCGGCCGGGAGAAATTCGCGCGCGCGCGCGCGCGCGCGCGCGGTTACTCTTCCGTCGGCTGGGCGGTATAATGGCGCGCGCTGGCGCGCGGCCCCTGGTGCGACCTCGTTCTGTGCCTGCGACCGGGCGAACCCCTCTCTGGCCTGGGCCCGCTGTCGCCCGCTGGAGCGAAGCGACCGGTGGCAGAGGCGTCCCGGCGCCGCCGCGCCGCTCCATCTGCCGACGTACGGATGGCGTCTGCACGGGCCGGGGGTGGAATGGGAGGATGGGGTCAGGTCGCCGCGCGGTGGCCGGAAAGACCGATGGTTGAGGGAGCGAGAGAGGGGTCAGACGGCTCCGGTGCATGCCAGACGCCGACGGCCGGGCTGGGGCCGACAGCGGCGCGCCCCATCGCACCCGCCGGGGTATCACGAGAGCGTGGAGTCATTTCTGCGAGACTGGGACCACTTGGTGTGCTATGCACTGAAAATCCAAACCCTGATATAGTGAAAAGGCTGACATTTTTTAGGACCGCATTGTCAATCTATTTACGTAAGATGCTGAGCACATACCCAAGGTGTTCATGAGCGCCTCCAGCGTGTGCTGACCAATAATAGGAAAGTTGACTTCAACTTTGTGATGCGGTTCGGCACATGGTTACCTAAACGGCAGCGTGGCATGTTTTCACGGCATATTAGAACTGGTATGGCACTTCACAGTGCCCGCGTCTTACCATGGCGTGGGCATTGGTCACGCCGTCAAAGTCATATATATTGACATCTGGTCACAACATATGACATCTGACATCTGAGAGTCTGAGTCAAATATATCAAAGTCAAAGTCATATATATTGACATCTGGTCACAACATATGACATCTGACATCAGAGAGTCTGAGTCAGACGTCGTACAGCGACATCTGACATGTCGTATGTTGAACCCGGTGAGGTTGGTCAGTTTTTTCCGGGATTAAATAGCCCAAGCATTGACTCACCCTACTCTGTGCGCATCCCTTGCGACCTCTGGGACCCTTTCTGGCCCTGAACTCACTGCCCTACCCCCCCCACCCCCGCCCCCCCCCCCCCGCTGACACCTCGGCTGGCGCCTGCCTGACCCGGATGACGGCGAGCTGCCCTTTGACGGTGTCTCTCCTGCCGACAGCAGCCGCCCGGACCTGGCCGGCGTGACCCTGCGCGCCGCGTGCTCTCCACCTCGGCGCCGGCGCGCTCCATCCAGCAGCCGGGCGCCGAGGCGCGCGACGAGCCCGACACGAGCAAAACCACCGAGGACGATATCCGACACATGTTCACCGACATAGTACAAGTGAGTGGCGTGCGGGCGGTCGCCTTGTGCAGCATTGCGAAGCAACGGTGGACCGGCTGTGCAGCATTGCCGAGCGGAGTCGTGGGCTACTGTCCTGGGTGTTGTCCTAGGCCGAACAGGCGACATTGCATGTATAATGAAGTGTCCTGTGTCGGGTTGCATGCCACCGTTGCGGCGCCCCAGACGGGAGTACCGGTTTGGCGCCGGCTGCAGCGTGGGGTGGTGCATCCCAGCTGGCGGGCGGAAGGCGCCGCCCGCGCAGCTGCTGGTCGTGACGGCGCCCCGGCCCGACGTGGCGCTCCGCCTGCAAGTCCGGAGGTCGTCCATCAGCGTCTGGCGCTGCCGCGTGCGGACACTACCCGTCGCCGTGGCGGCGCGGCACCAGCGGATCGTGCGCCGAGCCGGCGGCGGCTCTGCCGGTCAGCTGCCGCGCGTCGGTGGCGCCGCGCCGGCCAGGCCGGGGCCGTAACGGTGTCGGCAGCGCCACGGGCGCCAACACGGCGCACGCGCCACCGCCGGCCGGCGCGGTGCGTACGTACCCGAGGAGACAGCGCGGCGCGGGCCTGTGGTGGCTGATCGGGCGGAGGGGCTCCGACGCGGCCGATGGGGGCGCCGCGCCGCGCGCCGCCGAAAGATGCGGTGTGTGGCTCGCAGCACCGCCGAATGTCGGGGATATCGTGTGCTTCCGCTCCAGTGCGACTGCTTGATGCATGACAGCCGCTGTGAGGACGGCGCCACCAGCGCATGCTTGCTGTTGCTGAGGCGTAACACGCCGTAAGCTAAGCGCGCTAAATCTTATTGAGCTGCTCCTACGTAATACTACGGCGCATGCCTAACTATTACCGTTCTCGTCACCTTGCCAACTGATCAACACATTGCGAGATCGTCTACAGCTAGGTGAGTGTTGATCTATGGGCGGCGCGCATGCTCCATGTGAGGGATCGCGACGACTTAGAGTAAAGCGATGATCTCCCCGGCAATCCCCGAGGAGCAGACCGGGGGTTCAGGGCGTACCACTGGCGGTGTCTGACTCCACCACGGACGGCGATTGGTCGTGAAGTCCGGCGGAGTCGCGCGCACAGCCCCGCACCGCGCCGTCCCTGCGCCGACACTCGCTCCGCAGGGATCCCTGATCGATTTCAAGTATGGAGGCTTCCCATGCAGTGTCAGCGTACAGTCTCGGGTTTGGGACCAGTCCGGCAGGGACCGGATGTTCCAGATGTAAATGACATCTCACTTATACAATGATCAGCGCAGAGCGAGAAGCGTCGTGTCGTATTGCCGCTGTGGACAGAGAGAGGTCAACATCACCGTCGTCATCGTTGCATCCACCAAGAACAAAGCGAAATGCACGGCCGCAGTGAACAGTCCGCAGAACACACGGAACTCGCCAAGAACAGAGGGAAATACATTGCTGCCACGAACAGTGTAACACAGGGAGCTATGTTCTACAGTGATGCTTTGCAACTGCTACATTGCAGCAGTCACGGGGCCTCAGCACGCCCTTCATGCCATCGGTTTCAGAGGTCGTAGGGGCCGCTTGCTCGCCTGACAGCTTTGCGACGCTATCGCACGCTGGCACGCGGCAGGTGTTGCCGAACTGGTCTTTCTGGTGTACAGATGGTCTTGGTTGCAAGCGAAGCCGTCAGGCGAGCCATCTCAGTTGCACGACCGGACCTGCCTCACTGAGTACCAGCTTGAGCGGCGCCTGCACCAGTCGATGTCGGGCTCTGCAGCGGCTTGTGCGCGTGCAGGCTCAGTGGAGCGTCGGACAGAGCTGCGATCCCCATCAGGCGGAGCCGTCGGGGCGCCGTGGCTCTTCCCGGCGTCTGCCTGCGCTCCCGACTCCGTGTCACCCTGCCCCTCTCGGCGTCCTCCCCTCGTCGTAAGGTGATGCTGCTGCCGTTCGTCTGGTCTGTCCTCCACCGGTTCTTCCCGCTGTCGGCCCCTTCTGTGGACGTGTTCCCCTTTTTGTCCGTCCTTCGGCTGTGTCTGCCTTCGCGTGTTTCCTCTTAACCGCCCGTCATCGCCTGCTCTAATGCCGTTCTCTTTGCTGTATTATTTCCTATCCTCTGCCCACTTCTGTCTCCGTCTCCTCGCGTCCCTCTCCACCGCATGTCACCACCTCTCCTCGCATCCTGTCTCCCCCCTCCCACCAGTGTGGTGTTGGAGCGGCCTGTCGGCCTGCGCTCGCGTCGCTGACACCCGCCCGCTGTTGCAGGAACTGTCCACCACCGACAACCAGCTGCTCAAAGACATAGCCAGCTATTACTTCGACGGCCAGGGAAAAGCCGTGCGGCCGATGATCACGTGCCTGACGGCGCGTGCCATCAACTCACACGCACACCCCCACAGAAGGTGAGCTGGCGCGCGCCGCGCCGTTCCCACGGCCGTGCGCCGCTCGTGACTGTGGGTCGGGGCGCGTGGCAGCATCCACGCCGACTCGTGACTTGCTGTTCTCAGCTCGTGCCGGGATGGTCGTGGAATGTGGGCGGCGGTCGGCTCGCTGACGGGCGCGAGCTGTGTTGGGTGTGTGTGTGGGGGGGGGGGGGGATGTGCTGGGGCGTGGTAAGAGAGTGTTTGTGCGCGCGGACGCTTCGGGATGGTGAGGTGGAGGGGCTGACCTTGGGCTGTCGCCTCTGGTCTCCTCCAGCCTGCGTAGAGGCTCAGAGACAAAAAATCCAGGTGTTTCAAAATGTTTGTCCAGGAAGATTGGGCAACCCCATCTTTACGCTAACTGAAACTTCGACCGATTCGTTGTGCCACAGCTCTCAGCGGCTTGCACAATTAGCGGGGGAAAGTTGTTTCAATCTGCCGCATGCTAGTTGGTGGACTTCGGCGAGGCTCACCACCTACCGCGTAAAGTACTACACCGCAGACTTCGGAACCAACCACTGAAGCTGGCCGCGTCGGCCGGGGCTCGGCGGCGGCGGCGGTGGCGGCGTCCGGGCCTCTCCCACCGGCGGCCATTGCGCCTGTCACGTCCTACTTGGCGCGGTGGCGTCTCTGAATCGGCGTCGGCGCCGCGCGCCGCGTCTGTGTCGACACCGGCGCGCCGTCATTAGCGGGGGCCACCGCCGGAACAGAGCGTACCGGCTCAGTGGAGGCCCGGGCTGGGTAGCCGACCCGGCCCGACCCGGCCCGTCCGCCACCGCCGGCGCTCCGGGCACGGGCGCGGCGCGCGGCGTTGGTACGCCCTTGCGCCCTGATGCTGTTAAGTGCTCTGGTGCTCGGGTTAGAGTCTCGTAACATAGCAATGCTGTCATCGGCCAAATGGCTCCGTTGCTGGGTGAAATAGCTTCGTTTGCGCAGTTCTGGATGAGACTACTGAAGCGGCATGTCGTCCACAATGCTCGAGCCATTTGCGCGTTTATTCCCAGGCATAATCACATGAATTACGCACGGCGCTTGTTGGGCACAATCCACCGGTGTTTTTCATGAGGGCGCGAGCGGGCGGCCGTTCGCAGCCGGGCCGGTCGTCCGCCCGGGCCGGCCTGCCAGTCGCGTGGCGCGCCCTTCTCGGCGGCGCGCCGGGCACACACCGCACAATACAGTGGCCGCGGCACGCGCACGGCGCCCATTCACGCCGACCGACACGGTGCTTTTTGTGTGCTCGGCGGAAGTACACGTCGGCAATAGGAGCAAAAAAGGCGGCTCGTGGCCGGCCACGGCACGCAACGGCCGCCGGCGGTCGGTCAAGGCCGCGCCGGTGGTCAGCATGCTGGCTGACGACGCGGCGCGCGCGCTTCGCACACAGCTTGGCGCGGCGCCGATCACTATTCATGAGGCTGTGGCGGTGCGCGCCGACGCGGCGACGCTTGCGCCATCGGCCCGGGGCCGCGGCGGCGTCCGGTCGAGCCACTTTGGAAAGCGACCGCGGCTGCGGCGCCGGCGCGGGGCGGCCGGCCGGCCGGCGCAGGGGCCGCTGCTGGCGACTCTCTCCGACTCCGACCCCGGCTCGCGCCGGCGCCCGTAAACAGCCGGCCACGCCGCCTGGCCCGGTTCCACGGGCCGCGTGTTCCACTAATGGCGGGGCGCCGGCGGCGCGGCCACCGTCCCTCCGCTCCATCAGCGCGCGCGACCACCTCCGATTGGGCACACGATCGGTCACGGCCGGCGGCCGATCACCGGGGCCCGCCGCCGCCGTCGCCGACGACGGCCCGACGGCGGCGCGCTCCGCCCGCGTCGCGCCCGATTTCACCGCGTCGGCGCGCCGCAGCGCCATCCCTGACCCGGCCGCCTGACGCAGGTGCCTGTCGCCACCGCCCACGCTCGACGCGCCCGCCGCCGCAGGCCCTGCTGCTGTCCGCCTCCCCTGACGGGGCCGGCTGTCGCGGTACCGCCGCCATCGCCCACCCCTGACCTGTCGCACGCCCCCGCCGTCAGCACTGACCCGTGACCCATCTGATGACCTGCGGCAGGTTCCTGCTGCCGTCGCAGCGGCGTGTGGCCATGATCACGGAGATGATCCACACGGCGTCGCTGGTGCACGACGACGTGATCGACGCGTCCGACACACGCCGTGGCAAGGCCAGCGTCAACAAGTACTGGGGCCAGAAGCGGGTGAGTGTGCCGGCGGGGCGGCCGCGGGCCGGGGTCGCGCAGGTGAGGTGCCGCACGCCGCCGTCGGCAGTCGACGAGCGGTGGCCCGGCGACCTCAGCCGCCGGCGCGCAAAGTGGGTTAACAGCAAGCCCCGCGGTTAGCCGCCGGCGGTGGGACGAGCCCCGGCTAGCGGGCCGCCGGTAAGTGGGCCTGCGGCCGGCGCGTTCCGCCCAGACGGCTGCGCCTGCTGACGGCGCGGGCCGCTGCCGCCGGAGGCCTACAGCGGGTCCCGGTCCGGCCCGGCGGCGGTCCCGCCCCTGGCACCACGCTGCGGGCTGGGCGCCGGCGGCTGGCTGTGCGAGTCGGCAGCGGTGGCAGCGGGACGCGTTCTGTGCGCTGCTGCAGTCTCCGCCGGGATGCGGCCGCCCCAGCGTTGCGGTCTCCGGAGACCTCGACGCGGCGGGTCGTGTCTGGCCGGCGCACGTCGCGCGATCACGCCGCGCGTGATCCATCGTCAGATTGTGGGAACGCGCCGTGTGCGATCGAGTGACGACATGTACCACACGTGTACGAGTTTGGCGGCGAAATACCGACCACACGGAAAATGGAACAACATTCCGGTTGCGTTTCGAACATGCGCGTACCTTTCTCCAGCCCCGTTTCAATTATATTCAAGGCTTCTCGCTTCGGCTTAGTGATGAATAAGTGCGCAGTTTGTACGCTGAATCACCTAATAGGACTGTTGGCGGTCATTAGGATGATCCATCCGCCATCATCCCGGTGATTTTATTGTTCCGCTGTCGTCATTGGCGTTTCTTGTCTCACCCATTTTCGTTCAAGGTACTTGTTTAAATTTAATTCTGCGTCACCCGCATTACCAATATCATGGCATTTCCTGCGATTCAATTCTAAGAGGAAAGCATTTCGTGCGTATGGTGTCGGCTTGTTTTCACATTAAAGCTCATTGGCTTTGCCTTGTGAATGTTGACAGTTATTTGAAAAAGGGTTGCCTAGAGGATTCGCTACAGCACAACTCCGATATCTCTAACCAGATATTTGATGCGCTTTGTTTCACCTAATCTTAAGAGATTCTCATATTGTAATGCCGTTTAAAAAATCCGCACGACCGAGAAGTAAGCGAGGAGACCAATTGCAGCTGTAAATCCTTTCTCACTTCATTAAAAGCTGCTTACATTTTCGATATGGCACCATGATATCAGCTCCTAAAATTACTGCGTTTGTGCCTAAAGGTGAATGAGTTTGGGCTTGGAGATCTTCGTACTGCATCTGCGTCCGATTTTAGGTCACGCTGTGTTCCTTACGTGAAGTCCGTGACATGACATAAACGCGCACTCCTGTTGGCGAACTCCGACTATCCACCAATCTCAGCACTCTGCCTAGTTAACATCACCTGTTAGTCAAGCAAGCACATTCCCGACCGTACCCATCCCGGCATCTCCGTCTGTGATGACGTCACGGCTCAGTCACGCCCCCCCCCCCCCCCCCGCCTCTCCCCTGTGACCCAGCGCCGCCACAAGAGTCGCGTGTCCGGGTCAGCAGCCGCCGCCGGCGCCGATGGCGTCTGCCGCCCGTTGAAGCGAGCGTCGGCGGCGACGACGGGCGGGCGGCGCCGCGACGTCCGCCGTAGGCCGCACGGCCCCGCCCGGCCCCCGCCGCCGGCCGAAAGTGACGCCATGTGCGCCGTCCACCGTCGACGCGCCGCGGCTCGGATCCGGGAAAAGTGAAAGTCCCGCCTGCCGGCCGGACGTGGCATCTGGGCCGGCCGGGGCGCCGTAGAAAGTGTGGGGAGGCGGCCGTGGCCAGGGGCAGCGCGCGGCGCACGCGCAGCATACTCATGCGCCCGCCGGCCCTCGGCCGGCTCCGTTACAACACTCGCCGCGCCGTCATTCATTTTCTCTGCGGCGTGATACGTCAGGCAGCCGCACGGCGCCACTCTCCCGCCGCCGCCGCCGCCGCCGCCGCTGCTGGTGATGGAGATGATTCTCTGCCGTCGCTGCGGATAATGACCGGTGCTGCTGACGGACACCGGCGCTGATGATGCACGCCTCCGATGATGGACACTGCCGATGATGGACACCGATCTTGATGCGGATGCTGATGGGCTGACGTCACTGCTGACGGCTGCCACGAGGAATGATGGTGTCGGTCGCCACGGCTGATGGCGATGGCCGCCTGCTGATAGTGACAGTCCTTTTCTTTTGACGTTATAACGCCACCGCTGTTGGAGAAAGAGGAGTCAACGGTGCCGTAGAAAATGCCCACTGCTTTTAAGGCGTTTGTCGCCGCTGTCCATGATGATGTCATCCACGTCTGTTGCTGCTGATTCCACACACCCGCCGCTGCTGCTGCTGCTGACGGTGCCGTCCAGTAAAGTCGTGTGATGTGAGCATCTTTGATAGCGCGGTGACAGAGCAAAGCTGTAGATCGATGGTAGTGCTGCGCTGTACCATTCGTGGCAATTTATTCCGCAATTGATGTATATGATATGTCTGATAACGTGGATAGAGTGGATAGAGTTAGCCGGTGATGAAGGCGGCCGGCTCTTGTGAATATGCAATTGTGAAGGACGTAAATGTCATCAATGGCGGCTATGAATGTCTCCGGAATCATCACTAGACGCTTTTGGGGATCGCACCGGTGGGTCAACGCAACGAACGTCGAGCGCCGCCATGTTGTCGCCGAACACGGCGGTGCAGGACCCGGCGGTGTCGGCAGCCGCGGCCGCCGACGGCGGTGACGTCAGCCGAGCGTTTCTCCGGGTCGAGGCAGCGCAGATGCGCGGCCATTTTTTCGCCGCTGGCCACCGCCGAGCCGGTCTCGGTATTCACGCCGCGGGCGCCCAGAAAATGGGGCAGTAAGCCGCTTGGCCGGGCCTGGCTGGCGGCCGCGGTGCGCGCGGTCCGGACGGGCGGGGCCGGCGCTGGGTGAAGGTCCGTCGCGAGGCCCTGTCCGACCGGCGGCCCGCGCAGCCGGCGGCGCTCGGCGCTGAAACTGGCCCTCGTCGCGGACGATTGGGCCACACCGCCGCCGGCCTCGCCCGTAACGGCGGCCTAGGAATCCGGCGGGCGGCTGCGCACACCGCGCGGATTCGTAGCCGGAATGGATGGCCGCGAGCTTTCCAGAGTGGCTGGGTTTCTCTCCTTCCGCCGCCGCCGGCGGTCGGCGCTGGATGGTGGGTACGAGCCGTGGGCGGGCGCGCGCGCCGCGCGGACCGCTTCAACGCGCCGCACGGAGGCCGGCCGCCCGCTCGCCCGAGCCGTCTGGAGAGGGCCCACCGAGAAATAGCCGGAGGGAGGGCAGGGACGGGTGCCTTTTGCTCGGAGGGAGATGGTGTCCGTGCGGGGGAAAATGCGGAGGACCAAGACGATCTTCCGTTAGACGCATGTTTGGAATATAGTTGCTCGTGGATGGCGTAGCCCGTCATCATTGTGACCGTCGCAGCGCATTGGTTTGGTCTCCTGGATTTTCTGAGTGCTCACTCACTGCTCACCCACGGCCGCTCACCCACTGCTCACCCACGGTCACTGCTCACCCACGGCCGCTCACTCACCCCTATCGTCTTCAGCACTACGTGGATAGAGTAAGCCATGACCTAGGTCACAGCCATGTAAGCCGCGCCCTTGTGTTGAGTGTGTACTCACCGTGCTGCTGCGGTGAAGTTTTTTTGTCTGGCAGCGTGTGGTGGGGAGCAGTTTCTCGATAACGCCGCCCCGAGATGTGGTCGCCCAGGGTCGTGTTTCAGTGACGACTCGGGAGCCCAGTGGTTACCTTGGTGGTGTACTGACCGTGACACGGTGGTCGGCTTCCGTCTTCTACTGGCGTCTGGGCACGGATGCTCGCCGTGATCAGGCGAGGTTTATTGTGGCGCCAGCCTTCTAACAGACGTCCAGACAACGTACGCTGAATGGTGCACACCGACTCCCTGATAGCAGATGCATCCGTGTTCAGCGAAAGATCAAGCTGTTCACACTGGCTTCCAGACTACCTATACTACTTCCTACCTGACCACTTCTTCCAGACTACTATCGGCCTTTCTAGGCGTGACGTCTTGTGACTGGAGGACAGGGACTGAGGAGACGCAAGCATAAAGGCGCATTCAATAGCAATTATTCGCTGAATGCCGTCCCAAAACGGATGAAGGATGTCTTTTTAACAGGCCGAAAAATGAAGACATTGTGGGACGAAGTGACAAGCGTAGCGAGAGGACGTTTTACGCCGAGACATTGGGCGGCAGCACGCTTTCATCACAGACGTGCGTCGGCCGGCGGGTGGTCGGGTCGGTCCGTCGGTCGGCATCGAGGGCAGGCGCGGCGGCAGACGGCAGCTGACGGCGCTGCTCCACTGCCGTTATACCGCGTCAGCTGCCGGACACGCGTCTCGCGGCCCGCGCCGGTTTCGCCACGAGCGCGCCGCGTTCGGCGCCGGCGGTGTCGCCTGGCGCTCGGTGGCGTCGCCTGAACTCGGCGCCACCCGCATGAGCGGGGCCGGGTGGTGCGATGCGGCGTGTCGCCCAGCTGATGGCCTCGCCGGGTGCCAGTCGGGCCTGTCGCGCCCTCCGAGCCGTGGTCGGTTACCGGCCGGACGGACGGTTTCTATAGCGAGTCGTTGCTCCCACTCGGCTCATCTCCGTATAACGGTCGGTGGCCGGCTCGCCGCACGAGGTATGCTGACACCACGGCCGCCGGCGCGCGCACGGAGCCGACAGCGCCCACCGACCCGGCCCGTGCCGCCACCCCCGACCCGGCGCGCTGGCGGCGGCACGCGTGCAGCGCCCGCCGGCGACGCTCGGCGGGCCAGGGGTGGCGCGCGCCAGCCCCGGCGTGAGGTGAGCCAGCTCGGCCCGGGTGAGGGCGATTGGGTCCGATTGCTCGCGGGGCGGGCTCGACTCTGGCCCACCTGGCCGTGTGTGGCCTTGGCTGCAGCTGCAGCGCTTGCGGCGTCCATCTGAGCGGTCTGCACCGGCTCTGGACCAAGAGCAGCAGACAGTGCACAGTAGGTCGCCTATCTGCCCGGCGGCGGTTGAACAGCTTGCAGGGTGGTATCTTCTCGCCATCTGCTCGCGCTTGGGTCACTGGGTCCCTTCCCGTGGATGGCATTCCTCTGGCTGTGTGTCATGTAGTGCCGCTTTCCATCCGTCCCTCTGTCGATGGTTTGCCATCCAGTCTATCTTCATGGTCGCCTTCCCAGGGAACCAAGCGCCAGCGGATCCGTCCCCACTCGCCATCTCACCGGACAGTCATTAGATCCGCTCACAGAGCCGTATTCCCGCTGTACCGCGTCTCTCCGACTTGGTCACCGTCATAGTCTTCTCACGGAACCGGTTGTCACTGGATCAAGTTTCTGCATCGCGTTTCCGCCGTACGAAATGTCACTGGATCCGTTCTCCGCATACTCTCCCCACTAGTGTTTGATCATTGGTCTCCCATCTCCGGCTCCACGTCTCCGTCTCTCGAAGTGTCACTAGATGCATCACCAACGTCGCCTTCGCGCTAGACCACGTGGCGAAGGATGCGTCTCGGCGCCGCCTCGCCGCTGGACGAGGTGTCACTGACTCGGGTCTGCGCCATCGCCGGGCCGTTGCCCAGGTGCGGCTTGGCCCGCCCCTCCTCATCGCTCACCCCAGTCGCCTGCGTTCCTGGACCCGCCCTCATCACGCGTCCTCAGCGGCCGAGTCATTCAGCCCCTCCCCTCATCGCATGCCCGGTACGGCGAGCGGTGCCATCGGCCGGTGGCCATGGTCTGTTGGCGGGCTTCGCTTCCTGGCACGTGATCGTCGTGCCTGCACCAGGAGTGTCGCCGCCGGCGCCAGGAGTGTCGCCGCCGGCGTCAGGAGTGGGTGCTCCGGTGCCAGGAGAGTGTGTCCGCTGACACCAGGAGTGTCGCCGCCGGCGGTGGGGCAGATGCACTGCTATTTGTCGCTGCAGGAAGTGAGGGACGGCACGTGAGCGGGCAGGGTCGCCATAACAACGCAGTGGGCTTAGAGTGCGGCGTGTGTGCAGATCATGGGCCAGCCACGGTGGCGATCCAGCGGCCCCGGCATATGTGCAAGTGGCTGGTCTGTTCAAGCAGTCCTCGGAATTGCAGAAGCAGTGCCTTGAGTTATAATGGAGATTTGCTCTTTTCTAAACTTCTGGTACTGTTAACGCATTGGAGACTCAAGTAACGCCAAGATCACCATAATTGTGTGGGATATGATGTGTAAAAGCTATGTCATGCGACATGAAATGTAGCATGACAATGGTATGATATAGATCCATCATACACGAATGAATATGATTCATGTGCTATAGTTTATGGCCATACTCTAGGTAAGAAACTCTTGGTAAAGGTTATGACCACACTATGCGTAAAAAAAGGAAGAAATAAGGAACTGATGCTGTCATGATGGCACTGACCGCTATGACCGCATCATCGACTGCATGTCTGATGCAGCGCGGTAATCTGAGAACAGCGTCAGCCTGCGACTTGCTTTCGCCTGGCGAAAACGAATGTATCCATCTAGCTTGGCCTTAACGGACATAGTTCGCGTGCGACTAACCAGCAGAGCCTCGTCTCCCTGGCACAGTTATCCGATTTACTGTGGGAAGACGCCTGGAAGGTACTCCGTGTCGGCCGCGTCACCCGGACGATCTCATGGCGCGTCCAGTTTCGCCGTTTCGGCGCGAGCGGCGGCCATGTGCGGTCGCGCCGGCCGCCGGCGGCGCGCGGCGCGCGCGCGACGCCGTCGGCGCCGCTCCGCCAGCAGGCGTCGATTGAGCCATCTGGCGGTGGTCGGCGAGAGGGCGGCGCCGCGCCAGACTGTCAGCCGCCGCTGACGTAACGTGCCAGCCCAGCGCCGCCTTTCGTAAGGCGGCACGCGCGAGCCAGACACGCCGCAATGGGCCCGGCCGGACGTCGGGGTGTCGGGAGGCGGCGCAGGTCCGACGCGACGGTGGCGCCGCCGCCGTCCTGCCGGCGCGCGGCCGAGGCTCGCCACCGATCGGAGCGTGTTTGGTGCTGTCTGGCCGAACGCAAGGTGAACGTGTTTACATCAACCGGCCTTGAGGAGTGAAATGCAGATTCCACGGCTCATCGCCTCATCAGGGGGTCAGGAGACAGATGCCTCGAAATTAATGAGGCCTCTTTGATGCGCCGCCAGCGGTGGTCTCCGTCACCCGCAAGGCAACAAGATATGCGTCGTAGTGCGACGCGATGCGTGAACTGGATGGATGGATTTCAGTGGCCAATCTTATAGACATGACATGCGAATGGCTGATGTGGATAGCCATGAGCGTTGCTGCCATTCGCAGCAGTACTGGGTTCGTCCAGCCTGATCGTACCGGGCCGGCAGTGCTGTTACATTTCATTAGGTAGCTGTATTAATACAATAACCTTGAGTGCCGCGTGACTGTTGCGTTGCGCCGTGTCGCTTGTTCATACTGGTGTTACCGGTGCCCTATAACGGCATGCCGTCCTCGGCGAATAAAGTATTGCTGAGCACTAGACTCGAACCCTAGCCCCTCACCGCGCATCATCGCCAGGACTCCGGTGTTTGTGTATGTCACTGTCTCAGCAGGCTTCGTGCGACAAAGTCGTAACGGTCGCCAGTCTGGTGCAGCGTACTGGCTTTCCAGGAGACCACTAAAGCGTATGATTGCCACAGGCGCTAGTGCCATCACATCAGGAGCTAGCTAACCTTGGTGATGAAGCCGTTGCTGTTCATATAAGTTTGCCTGCGCGATGTGATGGCTGTAGAGCTGCGACGATGGCACATGTGCGTGGGGAGCGGCGCCCCAGAGCCCGCCCCTTCCCAGCCGTGACCGCGTCAGATGCCCGGCGCCGGCCTGTCTGACCGCGTGTGCTCGCCTGCCCGCAGGCCATCATGGCCGGAGACTACATCCTCTCGGTGGCCTCCACCATGTTGGCGAGGATTCGGAACGATGACGTCACACTAGTTCTATCTCAGGTGAGTGTCACATGCTAGCCACGTGATGCAAGGTAGTGGGAATCCGTGAGGTGTGGTGATTATTTTACTGCCGTGGCAGAAGCCGTACTTTCGCTAGCATACTCATGACCGGCGTTCTAGCTCAGTGCATGCCATTTTGAAACTTGCGTTTACAATTAGTGAGTGGGATGAACGATAATGGAATTGGGCCCAGACAGTTTGATATACGGGAAACCATGCTTACTGTCCCGGCCGTGCCCCCGGCCGTTTCCGCGTTCATGTGATAGAGATGGTATGAGGTTCCTTCCTGAAATGGAGTGCATTGTCCCTTTTTTAAGCTGGAAAGAAGTTAGGGTGTTGTTTGAGCTACGCCGCTGCTTATGAAATCCGCTATCGTGCATATGATTAGCGTGGGAAGGGAGGCATCTTGCGACGTTTGTCGAATGAACTGAATGCTCAGTCAAGGCTATTATTCAACGCTGCACTGCCAACCACTTGACGGCATGTCCAACTGAAGAGCAATTTGCTTGGACTACTTAGCACACGGTCCAGTGTTTAGCTGTACGTCTGGGTAATACGATGATAAAACTTATTGTTGCGAATTAGACACTTTAAATGAGCTACCCGCCTTGGCATCCAACGGATGGACACTTGTATCAGGTCATTTAGCAGACAGTACGTGCTGGCATTACCCCGCGTTTGGACCGTTATTTTGCGCGGTTGAAGTCATTTCGAGAAAAATGATTGCGGTTGCCATTGGGCCTGTGCCATCTTGATCTATTGCTAACTAAAACTAACTCAGTTTTATGACATTAACTAAGTCAGTTTTTGTGGCGCACAATCTCCAAAACAGCTTTGCGTTTTCGGTACATGCATCACACAACGCAAAGCCTAGCCTCAGGGTATTGGGAACGCATGGTGGGACAGACAGTGAGTTGGCGTGCGATTGTGGTGATATGCAAATACACGCTAAATCTGATAGCTATCGGCGCAGTGGCGAAACCCAGCCGCCATCGTGTGCATGCACCAACGCGACAAAAACTATCGCCCATTGCGCCACAGCGGCGAAGGCCCGGCCGCGGACCGCGGCGGACGTGAGTACCGTGACGATGCAGGGGGCACAGGATCAGGATCCCGTGCGCTCGTGACCCACATGGGCCGTCCTGGCGCGTCCCTGTTTTCGCCGAGCGCCGTGCAAGGGGAGCGTGGGGAGCATCCTCGCGCGCCATTATCATCCCACTGGCCGGTCGCCGCGGCCGGTAAACACACGGACAATGGGGCGGTCTTCGGCATCCCTCGCTGCCCTCCGCCGCGACCGGCCGCTGCTCTGGACTGCCGTGCGGCCGGGCACAACATGTTTTCCTCCTGGAGGAGGGAGGCCCTGCCGCGAGGGCGGCGCGCATACCGGCGGCGCGGGCTGCGCGGCTGGCTCCGGTCCTCGGACGCACTCCGTCCGTCGCCAGTAAGCCGCGCGCCGGCTGTCGGCCCGGTCTGGCGTCTCGCTGCGGGCTCTGAGCGTGGGCTGTCGGCCCGACCTGGCGTCTCGCTGTGGGCTCTGTGCGCGGGCTGTCGGCCCGGCCTGGCGTCTCGCTGTGGGCTCTGAGCGTGGGCTGTCGGCCCGACCTGGCGTCTCGCTGTGGGCTCTGTGCGCGGGCTGTCGGCCCGGCCTGGCGTCTCGCTGTGGGCTCTGGCGTGGCGCTGGTCATGCCGCTGACGCCTGCCTCCGAGGCGAATGGACGGGACTGGCCAGCGGGACGGCCGTAGCGACGACTTAGTGCACCTTTTGCATTTCGGTTGATCTATTTTTCTGATTCACCCTTGGATCTGAAGACTGTTGTGACTTCTAGAATCTTGCATGCCATGTGAGCAGTTCGTTCACTTTTGCAACTTAATTTGCCTAAAATTGGCGGCAAAGATTAGCAACCAAGCGAGGACTGAGGACTTGGTTGTTTATATGAACCCTCTGGCACATCCCCATCCTTCTGATCCTCTTAGGAGAGGATCGCTTCAGCCGATCTTCCCCAACTGATCGGCAATCGGTCATACCCCGGACAACAACAAGGGGAGCGGGTGGAGAGGGAAGGCGCTGGCAGCATGTCGGCAGCGGCCGCGGCTGTGCGGCAGGTCGGCACGTCGGCAGGTCGAACGGCCCCTGTCCCGGGCCGCCGTCCTGGTGTGCCGTGCGTGACCCAGTGCTGCGAGGGCCTCCAGTCCCCGGACCCTCGTGGCCCGCCGCCCCGGACCCAGACCCTCGCGGTCCGCCGCTCCATCCCCGGACCCTCGTGATCCGCCGCCCTGTCCCAGGACCCTCGCGGTCCGCCGCCCTATCCCCGGACCCTCGCGGTCCGCCGCCCTATCCCCGGACCCTCGCGGTCCGCTGCCCCATGGCCAGACCCTCGTGGTCCGCCGCCCGTCCCCGGACCTCCGTAGTCCGCTGCCCTGTTGGTGCTTGGTGCGGGCGTCTGTCGCCAACCCCCGTTGCAAACCGGCCACTCACTCTCTGTGGATTCGGCTGTTTACTGATCGCCTGTTTTTCTTTAACGTCGATATTTAGTTGAAAGCGAAACTTGCGTGTAACACAAGCCCATGCGAAGGGTGATGGCGTGGGTTTATTGCTACTAAACTGCGAAAGTAATGACGTAATGTAAACATGTTGTGGCTTCAAATGGTGGCGGATTTTTGCCTCACGGCGCTTATCCGAACGCCTCGAATTCGAGAATCAAAATTATCTCCATTGATGTAGAATGCATGCTGCGAGGTTTTCGTGTGGTTTGGCAAATAAGGCTTTTGCGCTTGATATCTTGTGAAGTTTGATAAGTCGCACGCGGTCAGCTAAACCCAGCATTTCAAATGAGACTCCCTGTACTATGACATGCATGATGAATCGGCGGAATAGTGAAAATCCCAACCGGACGTGTTAACTAACGGTGTGTAGAATGAAGCGCTGCATGACATTCGCTAGCTAGGCTAGGAGCCCGGTCGAGGCCCTGACGCGTGTTTGATCGGTCCGGCGATGGGAGAGGACTTGAACGCAGCCGGCGATCCGCTGGTCACCCTTCCGTCCGTTCCGACCGAGCGCTCAGCCGGCACAGCCTCGCTTCCGGTTTGGCTGCCATTCTGTCCCCACTCCATCCTCGTTTTGGATACGACTGAATTGGCCCCAAACGGATGCGCCGCGCGAAGCGGCCTGATAGCGTCAAGTTCGTTTCCTGTTATCCGTGCTGACGCTGCAAGAAAGCGTCGGCGGGTCATGGCGGGCGGGACGTGGACCTTGTGGCGCGGGTAGGTACGCGGGGCGTCGCCGACGCTCCGGCAGCGCCGGCGATGACGTGGTGCTCCCCTGTCGGTCGCGCCGGAGCCCGCCATCGATCGCTGCGGATGGCAGTTCTGTCATATCCGCCATTGGTCGCTGCAGATGGCGGCTCCGTCATATCCGCCATGGGTCTCTGCGGATGGGGATAGTGCTGTCCTGCGCCTCGGCGAACTGGCTCTCTCAGGCGCCGCTTTTTGTCAGTGCTCTCACCGTCTGTGAGTGTCGCCAGGCGGACTCCTTTAGCGGCGCCATCCCTGTATCGCCGTGCTGTCCCGTGTGTGCCTGGGTTGACCGCTGACTCGTGTCCGCCTGGGTCGGTCGCTATCCCGTGCTGCCCCCCCCCCCCCCCCCCCCTCCACACTGGCCACCATGCCTTGCCCCGCACCATGAGACGCTGTCCAGCGCCGCCCCGCATCAGCCGCTACTGTCCACGCCCCGTCGTTGCCGTCCCCGCACCGGCAGGCACGCCGTACCTGCCCTCACCCCGCCGCCATCCCCTGCTTCCCTGCGTGGGGCGCGCGGAGCCGGGCGCGGCGTGAGGCATGTGGAGCGGCGGCGTCAGCGGCGGCGCCAGGCCCGCCGGCCGGCTGCTAACGGGCCGGCCGGTCGAGCGCGCGTCGCCGACCGGCGTCTGATCGTGGACCCGATGTCGTTAACGGGCCGGCGGCGGCGCGCCGCGTCGGTCGGCTGGGCCGAACCCGGCCGGCGGCCCGTTACACGCGCCAGCTGACGTGAGCCCGGTCGCCCTCGCCGCCGCACGCACCGCGCCCGGGCGCCGCCTCATCGGTACGTCACCGGTTGTCGCCCCGACTCTCGCCGCGTGCGGCTTCTTCTCTCCGCTGCGCGCACCGGGCTCTCCCTCCAGTGCTTCGCTCGTCCGGTGCCGACGTCCCCTGGTTGATGGGCACGAACGTTCCCTGGCCAGCAGTACGGAGGGCAAACTCCCCCCGGCGTGACCGCTCCACGGGAAGCCTTCTTCTCGCCGTTCTTCTCCCAGAGGACGTACCTCTTCTTATCCTGCTGCCATCGAGAGCCGACTGTCCCCGCCCCTGGGCGATAGAACTGCCGCGTCCCCCCTGCGGACTATTCCTTCTCCAGTGCTTCTCATCTCCTAAAATTACCTTTTGGCAGGCATAGAAGCTCCCTTTTGAAAGGTCGTGCCGGTTTCGGTCCTGGTTTCGATCGGCCGCTATCCTGGCGAGAGCCGAGTTGCAGTGCGTGTGGAATGTTGCATGATGCATACCATTGACTTAGAACACTGCTAAGGCTGGGAAAGACTGTATTTTGCTTGCTCATCGTTCATGCTCAAAGCCGCCTAGTGTGCATGAATATTGTAATAGCACTTTCTGTCTCTTTAGAAATGTTCCACGTGAACAATTTCACACGCACCACCGTGGACCATGACCATTCTCCACCGAGTATTTACCTGGTATCGTTAGAGATTGAGATTGTGTGACATCAGCGTGGTGGAACAGTCTTACTGCTGTGCTGGCCGGAGTGTTTGGGTCGCGTTTGTCACTGGAGGGTGTTAACACTGACCTGATGCCTGCAGGCATTATTTCATGCAACTGCACGTGTGGTTCAACGAACGAAACCGCGGTCATTGAGTCGCAGAGCCCATTTACATGCATTCTAGCCGCTTGTTGCGACAGCGCTTACTTTGCCACATCGCTTGCACGCACGCCCAGCTAGTTTATGTGTCCGTGGAAGCCCTGGTGATTAATAGCGTTGACGATGTCTGAACCTTCCGCTGTTACAGGTTTTAGCAGATTTAGTGCAGGGCGAGTTTATGCAGCTGGGGTCGAAGGAGAACGAGAACGAGCGGTTCGCTCACTACCTGCGGAAGACATTCAAGAAGACGGCCAGTTTGATCGCGTACAGCTGCAAAGCGGTGAGAGTGGCGCGGTGTTGGAACGGCTGCGAGCGGCCGCGGCGACCTGGTCTGGCGGCGCGGCGGTGGAGGTCCCCCGCGCAGACGCACCCACCTCCGCCGCCACCGCCGCCGGCGCCGGCGATAGCGCGGGCGAGCGGCCGCGGCGACCTGGTCTGGCGGCGCGGCGGTGGAGGTCCCCCGCGCAGACGCACCCACCTCCGCCGCCACCGCCGCCGGCGCCGGCGATAGCGCGGGAGGACCGGGGTCAGCAGGGTCGGCGCCGGTGAAAACGGGCCAATAGAGGACGGGGCAGAGGTCGGCAGCCCAGCCGAGATCGGGGCCAAAGCCGAGCCGAGCCGAGCGGCCCAGACCGGCCCTGTCCTGCCGAGCAGAGCGGACCGGACCGAACCGACGGCCGGCACCGACCCGCTGACGGACCGGAACACAGGCCGGCACACTGACGGACCGGAGCACAGACTGAATCGTTGACGGACCGGAGCGCAGACTGATTCCCTGACGGACCGGAACACAAACCGACCCTCCGATGGGCCGGAGCGCATACCGATCCACTAACGGACCGGAGCGCAGACTGATCCTCCGACAGACCGGAGCGCAGACTGATCCTCTGACGGACCGGAGCGCAGACTGATCCTATGACGAACCGGAGCACAGACTGATCCTCTGACGGACCGGAGCACAGACTGATCCTTTGGCGGACCGGGGCACAGGGTGACCTACTGCCGGATCCGGACGTAGGCCGGCCTTCTGGCAGAACAGAACAGTGTCGGCACGCTGGCCGCCCAACGCCTGTCAGCATGATGCAATTCAGCCGCCCACGACATGTTCCGCGCAATATTTCAGTTGGATGGAATGCTGCATTAACGCCGATCACCTGTTACCTCAGGTTTCACCGTGTTCGAGCTTTGGACCATACGGTGCCTCTTGAATGATATCGCCGCAATCGTTTGCTCTAGATAGGGTTCGCCCTCAGATTGCGCGCCACTTGTAGCATGTGGCACCATCGTGCCGTTTTCACTGACCCTTTTCGGAGTACGATCACTCAGCTCGCGGTTTTCACCTGAACCTCGGCCGATTTCCTTATCTGCCTCAGTCGCAACAGATGTCGGTGATGAAATTAGGTATGCACTTTTCTTCAGAACCGTTAGTCTCAACCTAATGAGCGTGGGTTTTCTGCTGCGTTGTCGAGCGCGCGTCCTGCCATCTCCCGGCCGTTTGGGGATCTTCCGCTGCCCGTCGCCCAGGTGACGCCACCGTCTGCCTGCAGGTGGCGATCCTAGGTGGTGCGGATGACGAGATTCAAGAGGTGGCCTTCCAGTACGGCAGGAACGTGGGCATGGCGTTCCAGCTGGTGGACGATCTGCTGGACTTCGTGTCGTCCTCCAATCTGATGGGGAAGCCGGCGGCGGCGGACCTGAGACTGGGCCTAGCCACGGCGCCGGTGTTGTTCGCGTGCGAGAAGGTGAGCCGCTTCCGGCGCGCCGGGCCGCTGCACTACAGACCTGTCGTATGTCAGGGGTGCCTGGCTGTCTGCCTTTCGGGCCAAATTGGACTGTTTTGGACCAGTGATGATGACGAGGATGACCAGTGACGATGCTAGTGTGACCATGCGCTGACATATATCCCCGAGTACTTGCATGTATTAAGAGCTCCTTCACCACATGGTTTATCGGCCGGAAGCCCCAGAGACCACTGCTTCGTCGTGATTGGCGAATGGTTAGTCAGCTGCACTACGTTAAAATTACATGTAATTTGCCAGTATGTCGCAATCGTTTGCGAGAATGACTGCATTGCCACTCAATCTGTTTCTCAAGTGCCTATGAAACGTAAGTTTTTAGCAACAGACTAAGTTTACGTAAGTTGTTCAGTGCATTAGCGAGGGACGTTATTCACATGGATAAGACAGTAGTACTAGCCTTATTCCTCGGATAAAAATTTGCTTTTTGCCTTCAGCTATTGTTTTGATAAAGGCACGTTGCCGAAATATTAACCCAACTACATCGCCATTTTCCTGATTTTTTTTTCTCTCCGGGGAATAAGGCTAATACTACTGCCTTACAGACTAAATTTATATGAGAGGCCCTTCATCGTAGCATCTATGCAATAATCTGATGTCATTTCTCCTGCCTTTATCATGACTGTTAAGTGATCATGTGTGACGTGTAGAAAAAAGTATTGAACTAACACAACAGCGAAAAACTGACGAGCTCGTCTCAATGACTAAGCTGCTGCCGCCAGTGCTACGTTGGTTGTCTCCGTGCAACATCTCTGCGTGGTTGCCGCACGTCTTTGTTACCATCGCGTTTGTTTGAGTGCTGTCCGCGCTGCCATGTGCTGCCGGTGTGGCGGTATTGCCTTCCCGCCGTGTGTTGCCCGTGTGCTGCCGGTGTGGTGGTGTTGCCGTCCCTCCGTGTGTTGCACGTGTGCTGCCGGTGTGGTGGTGTTGCCGTCCCTCCGTGTGTTGCACGTGTGGTGGTGTTGCCGCCCCGCCGTGCGTTGCCGTGTGTTGCCGGTGTGATGGTGTTGCCGTTCCGCCGTGCGCGGACCGCCGTGTGACGTGCCGCCCGTCGCCAGTTCCCGGAACTGAACCCGATGATCATGCGTCGCTTCACGGAGCCCGGCGACGTGGAGAAGGCGTACCGCTGGGTCATGGACTCGGAGGGTCCGCGGCAGACCCGCATCCTGGCCGAGACCCACTGCGCTGAAGCCATCCGGCACATCAGCCAGCTGCAGACGTCGCCTGAGCAGCGCAGTCTGGTCCAGCTGACGGACCGCGTGCTCAATAGGATGAAGTAGTGCGCCGACGCCGGCCGGCTGTGGGGCGGCGCCGACGCCGGCGAACGCGGCCGGCCGGCTGTTGGGCGGTCTGGCCACGGCCGCGGTCACAGACGGGCTGTCTGGGCCAGACGCGACCTGCCGCGCCGGCCTGTCCGGCACTAGAGGCGGCCGCGGCGGCGCCGCAGCCGCCGTCATGGCGCGGGCGCCGCCGCGTGCTTGGGAGTGCGGGTGTGTCGAAGTGTCTGCGGGGGGACTACACGCGAGAGCTGGGCTGGGGCCTGCGTCAGAGGGGTGCTGAGGGGTCGCTGGTGCGAGGGCAGCTGGGCGCGACTCCCCTGAGTGTGGGTGTGTGGGCGCGGCTGGCGCACAAGTTGTGGTGTGGGCTGAGTGACCGCTGGACTGTGCTCCCTGGCGGAAGCGTCAGCGAGCTTGTGTGGGAGGGCGGCCGCACAGCACCGTCCGATCACTGGGCCGGAGCTATGGTGTGAAGGCGGCGCTCGTGTCGGGCCCGAGCGAGCCGCGGGTCCGCGCGTGTGTCTGTGTGAGCCCGTCTGGCCTGCCGAGAGGGCCGGCCCGCCTGGAGGGCCGCGGTGCGCCGCCCTCTGTGCCGCGCGCGTGCGCCGATCGTGAGTGGTGCCGCGGGACCGCTAGCTTTAATCGCCGGCCTGGCACAGGAGAGCAGCGACGGGTCGCGCCGGGCCGGCCGGGCGTGCCCGCCGCCGCGCCCGGTCGCGGCCACCAAATCAAAACACGGGTCCGTCAGGCGCGGCTGGCCGCGGGCCGCCGCCGGAGCCGTCACGTGGGGGCTGCTCCCGCCGCGGGCGGGCACCGCCGGCGACACTAGCGCCCCCTGTCGGAGCGCCAGTGGCGCCG